AGAGACCCCATCCCTTGATGGGAAGAGCCACAAACTTTTGTGCCCCTTTTGTAACTCATCATACTTAGTCAATCTTGACAACAACCCTAAAGTGACAAGCACTATTATTACTCTTCTTTTACAGATTAGCAAACAGTGGCATAAAATAATTAGATAACTTGTTCAGTTAGTGGTTCTAGGATGCCCACTGAGGCTAGTCTGACAACCTCCATGCTCCCTGTTTGGAGGCTGTCTGCAATGAAGAGCTCAGGTTTGACTGGCCCCAGATCACTGATCAGATCCCAGCGCCATCACACGTGCTCCTGGCACATCGCAGATACCCTTTAATTCCTAGTTCCTCTCTTCCCTTCCCAACCTGGTGTATAGTAGCTTCCTTCCTTCTTTCCTTTCTTGAACAAATACGTGACCACCAAATGCATGGCAGATACTGTCCTAGGTGCCGGAGACAAAAGAATGAACAAGATGGTCAAGACCTTGCTTTTATGAACCTTACTTACATTCTAAAGGAAGACAAAGTGGGGGGAAAAAAAAAAAGCAAGTACAGTTGACCCTGGAACAACATGACTTTGAACTGTGTGGATTTACTTACACATGGATTTTTTTCCCACTAAGTACAGTACGGCACTGTAAATGTATTTTCTCTTTTCTTAAGCTTTATTGTAAGAATACATCATTATATAACATACAAAAAACTATGTGTTAATCGACTGTTTATGTTATCCGTAAGGCTTTTGGTCATAGTAGGCTATAAGTAGTTAAGTTTTGGGGGGGTCAAAAATTATATGCAGATTTTTGGCTGTGCAGAGGTCCATGTCCCTTATCCCCACATTGTTCAAGAGTTTACTTGAGTAACGTTTCAGGTGGAGGTAAATACTACAAGGAAAAATAATAGCAGGGCAAAGGATCTGAGTGTCTAAAGTCAGGATACACAATTTGTAGGGTTGTGATTTAGGTCCAGAGACCTGATTTCTCTGACTCATTCTCCTCTCTATAAAATAAGACTGTTGGAGAAAAGGGTAGCATTGGTTACCCCTAGAAACGGAAGACTTTCCACACTATAATCTCTTGATTTTTTTTTTAAGTGAGACTCTTCTAGCTCTAAGATTTGATGAACAGTACAGTACAACATTATTTGTTTTGTTGCTCGCAGTTTTTCTGAGTCCTAAAAACCCTAAGAGCCATTAAAAAACAAAATGGTTGAATAGAGGGAACATAGGTTCACACATTTTCTTTTACTTAACATGATCTTAGTTTCTCTCTCTCCCAATATTTTACTTATTTGAGAGAGTGAGCAGGGGGAGTGGGGGGAAACAGGGAGAAGCAGACTCCCCCTTGAGAAAGGAGCTTGATGCCAGGCTCCATGCAGGACTCGATCCCAGTACCCTGGGATCATGACCTGAGCTGAAGGCAGAGACTTAAAACCAGTTGAGCCACTCAGGTGCCCCCTTAGTTTTGCTCTTATGTAACAAAGAAACTGGGGGGAAATGTGCACTTAGCAGGTATTGATGGCTGACTATTTCTTTCACAGAAGGATTTGGCTGTAGGAATTCAGGGTTCAGTAAACTTGATTTCTACTGAGTTTTTAGGAGCCTATCCATAAATAGGGGCATGCTGCTGTGATCACCCAGATGGCACATCATGGAAAAAGCAGGTGTTTTGTAATCGTGCATTTCTGGCCTCTATTAAGTCTAAATCCTGACTCTTAGCTAAATAACTTTTGGTAACTTAACCTCCAGGTAACAGTTTCTTCATCTATAAAACAGAGATACTGATTGCAGTCCCTGAACCACAATTTTCCAACTCGGAAATGGTCTGAAGATGAGAAATGTTTTCATAAATCTGGCTCAAAGTCATTTGGCAGCAAAACTGCCCCTAACTGAAGTGAATCTGGCTTAGTATAAATATGAGTGTTTTGCTGAGGAAATATTAACAATTAATTATGGGATATTACTCCATAGCAATTGGGGCTGTATATGCATCTTACTGCCTATTTTCTGAAGCACTAAAAATTCTGAATTCTGCTATACATCTGGCCATGAAGTTTGAATGAAAGTGGATATAAGTCTGTAATATCTTCCTTAAAGGATTTTGTAAGGATAAAAAGTAATATTTGTATTGTGCTTGGCATGCAGGAGCTGCCCAGTCAATGGTAGTTCTTAATCTTACCTAAATTTGGTTAAATTTGTGGGGTTTCTCCCCATTCTGAGGAATCTGCATTCAAGTCTGAAGGAGAGCTGTGGGAATGGTTGGTAGCTGTTCACCTGTGGACTTTTCCTGGGAGTCCCAGTCCTGGGAGTTCAGTCTCACACTTCTAGCCACTGCACACTCTTCCTCCAAATGCCTTTCATCCCTGTTTCTCTCTTGCGCGTTCTTGGGAGCGTACTTGACGTACTTGGCGTCAGACAGCTGTGGAAGACAGCAGGAGGCTCCAGAGACAGGCAGCTGTTAGCTCTAGTCTTTTTTCCACCCTCTCCTCCCTGCCAGCCCATGGGAATCAAGCAGTGGAAATTTTCATAGTGAGTCGAGTTCTCCAGTGCTTAATAGTTACAGCTTCCTGTATCTTCTTGGTCATTTGAGGAAATTTTTGTTATGGAGTGAGGAACTGAAGCAAATAGGTGACAGGAAGAATGATGAGGGAAGGAGACTGGGAAGGGGTTTATTGACCTTGCTCACTTTAAGAGTGGAAGAGGTGTGTTGATAAGGAAGGGTAGTGTTCTTTAAGATTGTTGCTCTTCAAAAACCTGTCCAGCTTTTATAGGATCTCATGGTTAGATGTCAGCCCCTAAACCATAAGTTGTAGTTGAGGATTAAAACATTTGGCAGTGCAGTGAAAGGAATCATTGTGGCCTGGTAACAGCAGTTTCTGTGAAGAGCTGCCATAGAGCTCAGTAGTAGCTGTTAATTCTGTTTCTCTGACTTGACTGCAAAGCCTGAAGCCTGGCCTCTCTATACTTGAGAGGGAAGGAGTTGGTGAATGGTTTTAAACACTCTCAGTGGGGGTGGGGGTGGGGCGCCTGGGTGGCTCCGTTGGTTAACCTCCTGCCTTGGGCTCAGGTCATGATCCTAGGCCCACACCGAGGCTCCTGGCTCAGTGGGAGTCTGTTTCTCCCTCTCCCTCAGCCATTCCCCCTACCTGTGCACCCTCTCTCTGTCAAATAAATAAAGAGAATCTTTTTAAAATAAATATATAAATATTCTGAACATATTCATTTATTCATCAAACCTTCACTGAGTATATTTGTATGCCAGACACTGCATGAAATGATTTTACTAAATATGGTGCCCAGTAAACACTAATTTTTATTAATCATTTTTTATTGAACATGGCAAGAAAATGAAATTCTCATGATTATGTAATTTTTTTAAGCTTTACTCTTGTTAATATGATATGCATCCATGATAGGAATTGAGGAAATAATACACATAAAAAAGAACATGGGCCCGCTAGGGTTCAGGATTCACTGTTAACATTCCAAAGTGACTGCAGTATTTCCCACCAGTGGATATGCCATTAGGTATATTTTTAACCACTCCCCTGTTAGATATTTCAAATGTTTTCTTTTTCTTAAAAAGAGAGAGGGGGAGACCAGGGGTTGGTGGGATACACAAGAACTCTGTACTTTGCATTCAGTTTTCCTCTGAACCTAAAACAGCTCTAAAATTAAAGTCTGTATAAAATACACAGCAATTCTTTCAGCTATGCTTGCTTTGAAACTATGGCTTTTTTTTTTCCTGGAAAAAATGATTCTTGTTGGGGGCGCCTGGGTGGCTCAGTGGGTTAAAGCCTCTGCCTTTGGCTCAGGTCATGGTCTTGGGGTCCTGGGATCCAGCTCCACATTGGGCTCTCTGCTCATCAAGGAGCCTGCTTCCTTATCTCTGCCTGCCATTCTGCCTACTTGTGATCTGTCAAATAAATAAATAAATAAATAAATCTTAAAAAACAAAACAAAAAACGATTCTTGTTTTCCTTAGGGAAGAGTGAAGTTCAGGAAGCAGCTTATTACAGCTTACTAATTTGAAAGAGAAAGAGGATCAGAAATCTTAAAAGTAATATCTTTCCAGAGCATAGAAGAAGTGAGGAAAAAAAAAAAAAAGCCAGAGGTGGACGGTAGTTAAAGCAGTAAAAACAGTTTCTTCAGAATAGTTATTGCAATGACTCAGTATAGAAAAGAGAAGAAAAGAGACCTCAGTATAGAACTGGGCTCTGTTCTGGGCGCCTGGGTGGCTCAATGGGTTAAAGCCTCTGTCTTCCGTTCAGGTCATGATCCCGGGGTCTTGGGATCGAGCCCCGCATCTGGCTCTTTCCTGGGCAGGGAGTCTCTTTCCTCCTCTCTCTCTGCCTACTTGTGATCTCTGTCTGTCAAATAAATAAATAAATCTTAAAAAAAAAAAAAAAAAAAAAAAGAACTGGGCTCAATTCTGAATACAACAAGGAAAAGTGGGGATTTCTAGCCAAGGAGCAGAGTGGAGGGATCGGTGGATGGAAAAGATGAAGATGGAACATCTGGGGTGAGGGACGTTCTCACCACACGACCTAACCTAGTGGGATTCTTCCCAGAGGAAGACCAGGGTGATGAGATGATGGGGACTGAGGAACCCTGCCGGTCGTTCGGGGTGATCAGTAGCAGGATTCTTGCTAAAATTGAGCCATGCAGGGATAGACACAGAAGTACAAGAGTGGAGGGTTCAGAGGAGCCCGACTCCAGTTTGGTGAAGGCACCAGGAGGCAGAGCCAGTTTCTCAGAGTGGACTGGGCTTCGGCAGCTGTCCATGGGGTCCAGGGACAAGGGGAAGACTTGGAGGGAGGCACAGGTGGTGAAGGGATGGCAAGCGGGGGGGGGGGGGGGGGGCGGGGTGGGGGGCCGCGGCCCCGGGGGGGGGGGGGCCGGCCAGCCACAGGCTTGTTGGGGTGGAGGGAGAGCCCGCCCCGCCCCACTGGGCGCCTCCCAGCCCCGCTCGGGTCTGTGGAGGGAAAACTCTGCTCGGGCCCCACGATTCCCATGGCCGTGGCTGCCTGCGGCACCAAGGCCATGTCCCTGTTCAAGCGGACCTTTGTGCTGAGTCCTGCCGCGGCGCCCCGGGGCACAGGCACGGGCGCCGGCTCCCCGCCGCGCGGCTGCCCCTTGTCTCCCGCCGCCTGGCCCTCCAAGGACTGGCCGCGGGGGGAGGGCGTCTGCGGCCGGCTGCGCACCCCGCCGTCAGCCTGCCGCTGGCCCCAGTCCCACTCCTGCTCCTCCGCATCTCCCACCTCAGTGTGTCTTCTCTGTCCCCAGGACTCAATGAGCAGCAGCTTGAAAACTTGCTACAAGTATCTCAATCAGACCAGTCGCAGTTTTTCAGCTGTCATCCAGGGGCTGGATGGGGAAATGCGGTGAGTGGCCAGACAGCTCCTTTTCACGTGGGGGAGGAGAGCTTTTCCTGGGGACCTTGAGCTAGTCCGGGACGTTGAGCCACTCAAGGCTACTTTCTGACAGTCCCTAGCGTTGTAGTGTCCGCTTGTGGCTCATCTAGAGTGTGCCCCACCAGAGTGAAGGAAATGTGGTTGGAAAGCCCATGTATTTACTTTAGAATGCCCTTCCAGGCACTTCGCCATCTAATAGTGTCCCTGTGGGCCCAGCTCTTTCAGGGAAGCGGGGAGGAAGCGGGGTGGGGGATGGTGGTGTTTATTGACTCTTTTTTAGTCCTGGCAGCTGAACTCTGAGTTCTCTGAGTAGGTCATGAATTTTTCTTGGCTTAAGTATGCTACTTTGTAATTCTAGTATATGGGGTTAATTCTAATAGAGTTGCTTTTTTTTTGTTGTTTTAAGTTTTATTCAAGCAATCTCTATACCCCACCTGGTGCTCAAATTTAGGACTCCTGTGACTGAACCAGCCCAAGTTGCTTATGGGCAGATTGCCTGCATGAACCTGGACCAGTGGCCTTTGTGTGTGATAGTAATTATACTGAGAAGTTATTGTGTTTTTTTACTTTATTTTTTATTGGTAAAAATACTAGTTCTATGTAAACACTTGGCCTGTTGATCTTTGTACAGTTGTTCTACGTTCGTTAAATGTAACTCATTCTGGGAGTAGTTGTGACATCCAGCCGGCAGGATTTTTGTTTTGTTTTTTATAACGGACTGAAGTCTGTTGCTCCCACCTAAGAAAGGAAAACTAAGATGTCTTGTTGTATACAAAAAGCTTTGGCTATCCTTTCATAGTTCTTTAGAGGTAGGGTCCTAGTAGGGTTTGCATAAATGACATGTTATTTTGAAATAAATATCTTGGAATGTTTGTCCTGTTATATTAATAGTTCCTCCATTTTCACAGCCATGCGGTATGCATATTTTATCTGGTCCTCCGAGCCCTGGACACTCTGGAAGATGACATGACCATCAGTATAGAAAAAAAGGTTCCACTGCTACACAACTTTCACTCTTACCTTTATGAACCAGACTGGCGGTATATGGAGAGCAAGGAGAAGGATCGACAAGTGCTAGAGGACTTCCCAACGGTAGCGGAATTACAAATCTCTTCTGCCTATGGTTGTGTGTATAACTGATGATGTAATTGTCAGCCAGCCCTCATCCCTGTAGAGAACTGTAAAATTGGCAGTGTGAGGGTAGTGTAATCTAATGTGATGGGTAAGAACTCTGAAGCTACGCTGCCTGGGTTGGAATCCCACCCCTTCCCCTTATTAACTGGTGTGGAGTGATGCAGCCTGTATAAACCTCAGTTTCTCCATCTATAGTGATAATAATAGTACCCACCTCGTAGTACTGTTGTGAGGTTTGAAAGAGTCAAGACAGGTTAGAATGGTATTAACTGCTATTACTGTTACCAGTATGTTGCCTATAAGTCCAGTGTTTCTTCCTTTGGAAAGATACATTTCTCTCTTTTTTTTTTAAGATTTTATTTATTGAGGCGCCTGGGTGGCTCAGTGGGTTAAAGCCTCTGCTTTCAGCTCAGGTCATGATCCCAGGGTCCTGGGATCGAGCCCCACATCGAGCTCTCTGCTCCGCGGAGAGCCTGCTTCCTCCTCTCTCTCCCTGCCTGCCTCTCTGCCTACTTGTGATCTCTGTCAAATAAGTAAATAAAACCTTTAAAAAAATTTTTTTATTTATTTATTTGACAGAGATCACAAGTAGGCAGAGAGGCAGGCAGAGAGAGGGGGGAAGCAGGCTCCCTACTGAGCAGAGAGCCCGATGCGGGGCTCGATCCCAGGACCCTGAGATCATGACCTGAGCCGAAGGCAGTGGCTTAACCCACTGAGCCACCCAGGTGCCCCTAAATAAGTTCTTCTTTCATATCACATAAATAAAAGGTTGATTTAGTGAAGTCTCATGTTCTCTAACAGACCAAAGAAGCCCTTCCTTTTGTACACAGTTGCCAGAATTTGGGAGGAAGAATTGTCCTCTTGTGGCTGTTGCTACTGAAACAGATCTATATTCCTGAGTGGGGAGGGCTGTAATCCACCCCATACAAAAGAATGTTTGAGAGACTCCTTTGGAGGAAGGGTTATTTCAGATTACTGAGAGCATGTCTTTGGTGTCAAAGACAAAAATGAAAGACAATAAAGTTCAAACCAGAAGAAAAGAAATCTGTGAGAAGTAATTACATGGAGCTGATCCAGTACAATACAATAGAAAACAAGAAAAAGGAAAAAAGAACCTGTGAAGAATAATTAGGTAGAGAGTGAGAGCACTCACCTAGAGAAGGTACCAGTGATTTGGCTCTCCTAGAACACCTCTCACGACCTGAGCTGAAGACAGATGCATAACTGACTGAGCCACCCAGGTGTCCTGATGTGTATTCTCACTTAAAAAAGTTATGTTCTAGCTATTCTAGCTAAAGCCTCAAAAAAAAAAAAAAAAAGAAAAAAAAGAAAACACAAAAAACCTTCCACACTATTTTCAAATTGAGTAGATTCATAACAATTAAATAATTTCTAGTTGTGGGATAAATGTCATAGGTATTTGAAAAATCAAGGCAGCCCTACCTACTCAGCAAAAATGAAAGAATATGAAAATGTGTGAATGTCAGAATAATTTGGGGGGATATAGCGAGTAAATGTTTAGATAATATTTCAGTATGCTTAGAAAACCAAAGTTGTCTTTATAAATATTGTATTCCAATGAGAAAACAACAGTTTGTTCAAGCAAATTTCAACATTAAATCTATCCTTTCCTATGTTGGGTAGTGGGGTGAGAGAACAGAGCCTCCCCTGTGGAGAGCAGAAACTCGCTCTGCCAGAATAGAAGGGAGCAGAGTGCACAGGCCAGGCATCACCATTTTGCTGGTGTTGACTTTTTATATCCTTAAGAACGTGAAATATACGAAGCTATGTGTTGGTGAGGATGGAACTTCAAATCAGAGGTCCTTTCAGCCTGTCATTCCTATTGAGATAGGGATATATGGAAAATCGTAGTGTCTTATTTTCATTGGGAAAGTTTTGCGCACCTGCTAATCTATCCCAGCATCTCCTTGAGACAAGATGCACAATTTGAAGGGTAAAGCAGTGTCCTTGGGTTATGCGCGCCATCAGTTTCGGGTGAGGTCCTAGGGCAGAACAATTAATTTGGCCTCACTCACACAGTACTGCTCTTAGACTGAGGGAAGAAGGGCCCGCCCCTCCCAGCCCCTCACTTTAGAAGGCCCCACTCAAAGGGGTGAGGGTTCCCCAGTGCCATGGGAGTGTGCCTACCCAGATCTTATGCAGCTTGCCTTCTAGATTATATTCCAGGTATGTGGAATTCCTTGCCCTTAACTCCCTGAGCCTTCTTTTCAGGTTTGCAGTCTGTTTCCTCAGGCCTGTCTTCTCCAGGGTGAACCGTGCGCCAGTGACTCTGCCCCTAGGCCTTCTGGGTGCTAGACAGAGTTGGGAGTGGGAGGGCCAGGCTGCAGACCAAAAGCTGGGGATTGCCAGTGTCTGCTCTGCTGCCTTTTGGAATAGAGCCCTGAGGGAGATTTAAACTCGTACCTGAGTCCTTCAGGTTGTGGTGAAGGCCTTTGTAAAAGCAAGAGAATAGCACATACTGTTTAACAGGTTACTAGTGTGACTGATAATTTCAAGATTTTGAGCCAGTATGGTGTGTGCACCTCCTTTTGTGCTCTTGTCCCAGGTCCCACAGACTTTAGGCATAAGCCTAGACAGAGTGTTCTCACCAAGTGAGCCTCTCCCCAGTGTGTGTGCATTGAGATTGAACCTGGTGTTTTATGCTTTGTGGTCATTAGTTAGTATCATTTGAAGCCAGGCTTTCTAGAACTTTCGCTGTATATTATGGATTAGAGCTTATCTTTTTCGCCTGGTACTAGTGGAAACTAGTAGTCTTTGAGACCTACCCCAAACACAACTTAAAGAATAGCATAGGGTTATTTTTAAATGCTAATATTGGTAATAACATATATTTATTGAGCTATGAATTAGTTATGAAATATATTTCAATGTTCATTCAATGTTTGTATTTTATGGTAATGTAATTTTAACATTTAGCCTTATAGTAGGGGAGACACTATAACTTCCTGATAGAAATTTAGAAATCGATGATAAAAATGGTGGCTCATCTCCTCCGTAGAATGTAAACTGTACCAAGTTTAAGTTTCTGTTCCTTTCCAGGCTGTGTATCCCCAGTGCCTAGAACAAAGCTTGTTACATAGGAAGTACTTGGTGCATGTTTGAAGGAATGAGTCTTCCCTATCATGAGGTTTGTCTAAAATGGGGCATTCTTCCTAAAATTCTTATGTTTATGTCCACTTTATGTTGAAACACCTCATTTATTATCTATTAGAAAGATGAGTGTAGAGTGAGACTTTGATTTTCTTTAGAAACTTTAGCAGTTTTTAGACCCTTTTATTTTAACAATTATAACATTTCTGAGCTTATTACGCAATATGTAGAAAACTAGCATGACCTGGTGTTAGGCTTATAGATGACTCATCTGGGAGTCTTAATGAGTTCTACTGTTATTTTATCTTACAATCTGTGTGTACCATGTTCCCAGTGTAAATACATATTTCATATTTTTTCTTTCTTTTTTTTTTTTTGTGTGTGTGATTTCCATTTCCAGATCTCCCTCGAGTTTAGAAATTTGGCTGAGAAGTATCAAACAGTGATTGTTGACATTTGCCAGAAAATGGGATTTGGGATGGCGGAGTTTTTGGATAAACAAGTAACCTCTGAACAGGAGTGGGACAAGGTCAGTGTTTAAAAGCTGTGTTGGTATGTGGCACATAGAACAGAGCTGGCAGTACGTGCTATGAAGTTCAGAGTGAGGAAGAAAGTTGTCTTACCAGTTCCAAGTTTTCTGGTTTTACAGCCCACCTGTGTAGCTTGAATGTCTCATCATAAACACTTAATAAAGGGGCTTAGAGTTGAATACTTGAAATAATTCATGCCCTAGGGAGTTTGCCATTAAGTTAGGCCAAAGTGAATTTAACCTGTCCCAGAGGTACAAACATTAAGCTTCTAGAAGTGCCTCTGACTTGCTGTGAAATTTTAGATAAATGGCCAAATTACTTAATGTAATATAGAGATAGCCGAGGTTTTCAAATCTTCAAAAATGTGGTTTTGCTTATTTGCTTTCTTCCATCACTGAGTATGTGTTTATGTGGACACACCTTAGCATCTGAATCAGTTTCCAGTTCGATCTTAGCGCAAGATGACTTTTAAACTCTGTGCCAGCCTGACCCCATTTGTTGAGAAGTAGGTACCACTTAAACTGTTAAATTATATGTGTGTTTCCTTTGCAACTTTTTGAGTATCCAGAGGTACTGACTTAGGATCATGGGTGTGTTGTGCTGAGGAGTGAGTAACTCTCCAATACCATACTGCTTCCTTTCCCGTCATCTCCTTACAGAATTAACACAATGGGAGAAGTTCCAAGTTTCTCAGCCTCCCTCCCCCAGTTCATATGGCAGTTAGAAACGAATATGTGTGGGGATTAGCGTGGGAGACCCCACATGGGTGAGGTGGTCTTCCTCGGGAGGCAGGGTAGCTGGAAAGGGCAATGAGAGCAGATGATGTGGCAGATAAAATTATGATGACTTTTATTTGGCCTGAGTTTACTCCTGAGCAGCCCCTGCGTAGGATATGGCCAGGGTAGGAGTTAGGGGACAGGGAGAAAGTGCCTGTCTAGACAAAGTGACCTAATTGACCATGGGGACTAAACTAAGCATCAAAATACTGGATAGGAAGGAGGGTTGTTGCCCGTTTTCCGTAGGAAGGATGTTTGGGAGACTTCTTCATCTCCCCAGTGGAAGCAAAGACATTTTAAACATCTGAACTATGTGTGTATTTTGTATCTTTAATAGTGTTTAAGTTAGGATCTCAGAAGAGAGGTGACTACATGCATACTCCCTGGGTGAATATAGGTTCAAAGTCTGGCCTCTTAATCCTTCAGTCCTCAAAATTTGCCGGCAACATCTTTGTGGCTGCTGGATTATGCTCTCCAAGTTAGCATGAGTGATGCTGCTGCTGGAATTACCCATTTATGAAATTAAAGTTAAAGCTGAAACTTCTCCGGGCCAGGAATCAGCACTGGTTAGCTGCGTGGTGACTCTCTTTTCTGCTCTGCAGACCTCTTAGGAAGACCCAGTGACAGTTTGTTGAGTATAATTTCTGATGAGATGAAATTCAGTACTTTGAGTGATTCTCCCCCCCCCCCCCTTCAACTTTGGAGGAAGAGGACTACTTCCAGTCTAGGAATATTTCTATCCAAAGAACTGTTATCTTAAAATCTCCTTTTCCTAGGGCAGTGCCAAGGACGTACTGATGTTTTTAAATTTCTAGTAATTCTTTTTAAGTTTCTTTTAGCTGTCCACAGCTCATTTCTCTATTTTAGCCTATCTTTACTCTTTCCAGAGTCTTCCATTCTTAGACCACATTTTGAGTGCTTTCTCTTTGCCGTTTCATTGTGCCCTTTGATTAGTCTGGCTTTGTGTTTCTTTCATCCAGAGGCCCTCCTTGGGTCTTTCCCGAACATTCACCCTTGCTGTTGTCCCCCCCAGAGCGTACCTTCATTAACTGCTCTCTACCTCTTACAGTGTGTAATGGACATTCATTTCATAAGAGTATTGCATTAAGTTGTCTTGGAATATTCTTTTTAAGAGAGGAGAGCTTTGGCAAACTACTTTTACAGGAAAAAAACTTCTTTGATAATCAAGAATGATGTTTACCAAGATCTCTTTGGAGAAAAGGCAGTTTCAGCAAAGTTGTTAGAACCCGCCTTGTAAGCCAGACCACCTGGCTTTGAGTCCCTCGCCTCTAACTTCCAGATGAGTGATCTTGGGTAATTAATTGACTGAACTCTGTCTGCCCCAGTTTGCACTTCTGTAAAATGGTGGTAGTAATAATACGTGCCTCATAAAGGTGTTTGTGAGGACTGAATATGCAGAGTGCTTTGAACAGTGGCAAGAACAGAGCTGTGGTACTTTGTCCTTCTATGTAATGAAGGTTTTGAGACATGGCAAGATCTTGAAGTGTCTTCGAGACCAAGCTCCACTTACTATTCTAGTTTCTATTAGAATATTCCTTATTCCCTCATTGCCTTCACCCTCAATTTTAGATATTAAAAAGCTTACTGTACTAGTTTATTTTTTCAATGACCTTTTATTCTAGGAGTAGTGCATGTCCACAGTAGAAATATGGAAAAGCAGGTGAAAAAATAAAGCCATCACACCAGCCAGAGATCAGAGGTCACTTTGGTTAAATCTTTTGTGCACGTGTTTTTTATTCCTCACATGTACATAGTGCATATTTGTGTTTTTTAATCAAAATCTGATCTTGTACATTCTGTTTGGAACCTGTTTTGGGATTTTGTTATCTTTTTTTGGCTTTTGGGATCTTTTTTATAGGCAATTATCTCGGATGTTTCCATTGTAGTAAGTACTTCATTGTTTCTTACAGTACTGTCACTGTGTCGCCGGGCTGGTGGGAATTGGCCTTTCCCGTCTGTTCTCACTCTCAGAGTTAGAAGACCCCTTAGTTGGTGAAGACACAGAACGTGCCAATTCTATGGGCCTGTTTCTGCAGAAAACAAACATCATTCGTGATTATCTGGAAGACCATCGAGAAGGCAGAGAGTTTTGGCCTCAAGAGGTAACAGATGTAGGAGATTTGAGAAAAATAATTTTAAGTACTTTCTGAGAACAAAACAAAACAAATCTTTTGGTTGCAAATGATAAAAATGTGAACAAACTACCTTAGACAATGTAAGAGAATATATGAAACAGGTTAGGATTTAGTTTGCTTCAGAGTAGACTGGCTAAATCCTGGGGTTCAGACTATGTATAGTAATGCGCACACACACACACACACACACACACACACACACACACACACACGCTCACATGCTCACACAGAGGCTTTATCCCCGTTCTTTCTATCTCTTGAATAGGCTTTCTCCAAGTGGTGGATATAACGATTCATGACTCACAATCTACTAACTTAATAAAGAAGTTCTTAGGAAGGCCCAGTTGATGAGACATGGATCCTGTGCCCAACCCATAATCAGTTACCATGTAGCCAGAGGGCTGAGTACTCTGGCCAGACCTGGGTTATATCTTCCCAACACACAGAATGGATTCCACCCTACCCCCAACCCCTGTCAAAAAGGGATTCTGTGGCAAGAAGGAGGAAGACCATAGAGAGGGAGAGGCAAAAACTACAGAATGTTCATTATAAGAGAAGAGTTGATCTTTGACTTAATTTTAAAAAAACAGGTAGTCAAGGAAAGCCTTGGAGGTTGGCTTTATTCAGAAGGACAGCTAGAAAGTATTAGGACTGTGTCCTGATTTTACTCCAGTATTTGTCTATTGCTTTCCATAAAATGATTTCCTAAAAGCAAGGGCTTTTAATTTTTTAATTTTTTTATTATGTAAATATTTTATTTATTTGAGAGACAGAACGTGAACAGGGGAAGGGGCAGAGGCAGAGGGAGAAGCAGACTCCCCGCTGAGCAGGGAGCACCTCCATCCCAGGACCCTAAGATCATGCATGGCCTGAGCTGAAGTCAGTCACTTAACTGACTGAGCCACCCAGGCACCCCAACCAAATGATTTTTTTTTTTTTAATAAACATATAATATATTTTTATCCCCAGGGGTAAGGTCTGTGAATTGCCAGGTTTACACACTTCACAGCACTCACCATAGCACATACCCTCCCCACCAACCAAATGATTTTAAAGTGAAAAAAAGGCAAGTGACAAAGTAGGGAAAATATTTGCAACTTAAACAGCAAATATGGGACTGCTATTCCTAATATAAAAACTGCTAAAAGTTAAGACCAGCTACCTTATAGAAAACTGGGTAAAGAGATAACAGGTTATTCACAGAAAGAAGTATTTTTTTTTTTTGTTTTTTTTTGAAAGAAAGATCCTTAAACAGCTGAAAAGATGATCAGTCCCACACCCAATAAGAAAAATTCACATTAAAACGACCCTGGGCTGAGACATCCTAGTTTGCCAAGCTTCCCAGGTGTCTCCTCTGTGGGCAAGGTTGCCAAAGAGCTCTTGACCACCCTTCTGGGATGCCACGGCTCAGCGAAGGGAAGTGGTTTGTGTGAGGACCCGCAGTGAGTCAGGGGCCACCTGGAAGGGCCACTTGAGTCTCTGGGTCCCAGCTGGGGCTTGTCCCTTGTCATCACACTGCTGTCATCCAGGCACGTCCCCCCAGGCTCTACAGGTCTGCACACCGTTTACTTCCTCTTCTGTAATATTGAAAAGCTGTTAGACCACAGGATAGTGGTGTGAATAAAGTGAGATAAACCTTGGCCAGGGTGCTTATTAAATGTCAGTCCAAATAGCTTAACCAAAAAAGAGAGAAAAGAACCCTGAGAGACTATCCAGTGCCGGACTGGCAAAAAGTCGTTGAGAAAAACTGGGGACGCAGGCACTCTGTGGCTGGGAAGAGTGTATCCTGGTGCAAATAGCCCTGAGCGCTGGCAGCTTGGCAAGTGAATAATATGGGGGCTTAGTGGTGCAGCTTTGTTTCTAATAGTTACAGTTTATAAGCAACTGAGATGTCCATCTATACCGGACTGATTGAACGAACTATGGTATATTCCCTTGGTGGAGCACAGAAATAACTATACTACTATGGAGTAATCTCCAGGTTATATTATTAAGTGAAAAAAAAGCAAGGTGCACAGCACCGTAAACATACTCAACGTAATAAAATGTGTACATAATTATACTGGGAATAATATTGTTATTGAAATACTGAAACTATTACAGAAACACTGCAACATACAGCAAATAGGCAGTTGTGTTCATATCAGTCTGGGAACCAAGATGTTCAGTCTAAAATAAAAGGTACAAATATAAAACTAATAATAAAGTTAAGCAAAACTCCCATAATCCTAAACTGACTTGAAAATGTCAGCACAAATTCCTGATACAGATTCTCTATTAAAAAAAAAGTCTCGCTCTCTCTACAAAGAGGTGTAGAAACAAACCAGTAATAATGGGTACCGCTGGTGTTCCAGTTTGGTCTTTTAATACTGTTTTCCACCACACAGAATAGGGGATAGGAACTGAGAATATACTGTCGTGCCAGAAAGTAAGGGAGCTATCAAAGTACAAAGTATAGGGTAAAAAGGTGTAGGGTCCAGTTTAAAGGTGCCTTCACTGACCACATATGGAACAATTTGAATATTGAAAAGAATAAAGACTGCAGTGGGTTGAAACACAGCAAATGTGTTTAAATCTAAAGAGAAATGAGCATCTGCCTCCTGAAGGGTGTGGTGCTCTCTTATCGTGAGGCACACAACGTCTGATCTTTGCCCACTTTTGATGTTAGCAGTCATTGGGCTTCATGTCTAGTTCTGTTCTAGAGTAGATCTTTATTGGGGATCAAGTCCCACATTGGGCTCCTTGCTCTGCAGGGAGGCTGCTTCTACCTCATCTGCCACTCCCCCTGCTTGTACGCTTTCTCCCTTCTCTCTCTGTCTGGCCAGTAAGAAAGTAAGTAAATAAAATCTTAAAAAAAAAAAAAAACAAAAACCCATCACTGATTGGGTTTAATCTGTGGTAATTATTCTCACTATTAAAGCTCAAAATTTCCCTCCTTTGGTCAGGAACAGGTTCAGGTTGGCTCCTGAGTCCTCACGAGGGGACCCTTAATGCTTTGATAGCTTCCTTGCCGTTTGGTATGTACAGATGTTCTAAGCTCATTTTATACATTTCTTGCCTGAGCACTGGGCTCATCCAGCTCTTAGGAACCCCAGGTAAGACACCTGGGCTAATGGGAAATAGTACCCAGCACTGCACTTGGGCACTAGGCACAGTCACTGCTCTTGGGACAGTCGCTGTGTGTGTGTGTGTGTGTGTTTAGTTTTAAAGTTCAAATACCTTCTAAGTTTATGTTAATATTTCCAGTTCAGGGATTGTTACATAACCTCCTCCTCTGTATTATATTTCTACTTCATTTTCTTCCTCATCGAGATTCATAATTCTCAGGGAAATCAGAGATGCTAGAATTAGTATATGCCATGATTACTCATTTGCTTTTCTCCCCCTGCATTACAGATCCTGCAGTCTCTCACTAGAGATAATAATGCAACTACCACCAAAATGATTCTTGAAAATAATTGAAGACTATTTTTGCATATGCTATACTAATTTCCAATTTTTTATGATTATATTTATTTCTCAGTTGTCAGATTAGATGGCCACTGATGCTGTAATATCTCCCTTTCCCCCTTCCTTAGTCTTTGTTTAAGCTCACCTTTAATTAAGGTGAGCTTATATTGATGTCTGTAGTCATTTTGGTTGTCTGGAGTTCACACACTGATCGATAGGAAAGGCCCATGAGAATAATAATTCCTCATGTTTATACATATTGGTAATTTGTGACTTTGATATTTGAAAGTTAGTTTTTCTAGATATAAAATTTTTAGCTCACATTTTGAGTATCCCGTTTTCTTCCGCTTTACAGACTGTTAAAATTCTAAGGATAACTTAATTTTCTTTTCCTTGTAAGTTATGGGTTCTTTTTCTTTTCTTTGGTGATTACTGCCTAGATCCCTCATCACTGGAGATGCCAAAAGGTGATGTCCTAAATTCTATCATCCTTTCTGTATTTTTTAGCAGGAATTTTGGATTTTGTAAAAATGGTAGTGGTGGTGGCCAGTCATTTATTGGGGGAGAGTATAAAGTGACAATAACCATTATTCTTTGGGAAACTTAAGAGTGACCAAAAATGAAATTAAGTTCTTTGCTAGCTTCAGAGACTCCTTTAAAAATATCATTAAAAATTGTTAAATCAATCACACCGTTGGAGTTGAAGATGTTATTTCACTTTTGAGTTACTAAGATCCAAGGAGGTAATGTTCTCATTGTGTAGACTCAGCTCATTCTCCCCCAAGACACTTGTTCGGCAGCATTCTTATCAGAATTGGGAATGTCATGTTAATCATTTATTACTTTGAGGCCTGACCATCTTCAAAATATTTAACATTTAGCTTGCAGTACTCTTGTAGCTGATTTTGTAAGGAGACTAATGCCTTCTGGAACAACCAGGAGTCCTCTTTATTTGAAGTCATCAAAGTATTGCTTAGTACATGATGTACCAACTGTCCCTAAGGGACAGTTTCCCAAATACTTAACTGACTCCTAGGTTGTGATGAGACCCTGACTGGTCATCACAAATAGCCACTTTGTGGAGCTTGAAACGGACTTGGTCTTGGTGAAAGATGAGTACGCAGCTAAGAAAAACTTTGCTCTAGATCATAGTTTTTATTGACGAAGATTCTTTCCGGTTGCTTGTATGTTCTTCACTTATGCCCGTGCTAACTTACTTTTTAAGGTTTGGGGCAAGTATGTTAAGAAGTTGGGCGATTTTGCTAAGCCACAGAACATTGATTCAGCTGTGCTGTGCCTGAACGAACTTATAACCAACGCACTTCACCACATCCCAGATGTCATCACTTATCTTTCAAGACTTAGAAACCAAAGTGTGTTTAACTTCTCCGCTATTCCACAGGTAGGCAAGGGAGCTGTTCTTGTGTATGAGAGGCGGAAGCTAAAAGGACTGGCATGGTGGTGCTGATGGGGGTGGACAGAATGCGTTTACTATTTTGGTTTGCTGTATTCAGGAATATGGTTCCTTTTAAAAAGATGGCTCCAGTCTGTTTTCTTTTGCTGGGTGGGAAGGCAGGCACCTCCCCTCTGCCCCACAAGCACCACACCCAGCTCAGCCTCCTTAGATTCTTAGCCTCACAATTAAATCTACGGCTTTGGCTTAGGTTTAAGGGGAATGCTGGGTAAAATATAGGTGAAGGTTTATCATTACAGAGTCTTACTTAAGGGCCTTGTTTCTGCTGTCCTTTTCCCAGACTCGGGATAATAGAACCTGATCCTATGGACCTAGCCCCACAGTCCTCTGGTGCTTAGGCTTTTTAATTTTTTTTTTTAAAGATTTTTATTTATTTATTTGACAGACAGAGATCACAAGTAGGCAGAGAGGCAGACAGAGAGAGAAGGAGGGGAAGCAGGCTCCCTGCTGAGCAGAGAGCCCGATGCGGGGCTCAATCCCAGGACGCTGAGATCATGACCTGAGCTGAGGCAGAGGCTTTAAACCACTGAGCCACCCAGGTGCCCCACTTAGGCTTTTTTTAAATGCCTTTGCCAATTATTTCAGTTTTTAACTCAAATACATGAAACTCATGGGATTTAACTGATTTGGAAACTTAGTTTGATCTTTTTTTTTTTTTTTAAGATTTTATTTATTTAAGAAAGGGAGAGAGAGAGAGCACGAACGGGGGTGGGGGGTAGACAGAGGAAGAAAGAGAGGGAGAAGCATACTCCCCACTGAGCATGGAACCCAACACAGGGCTTCATTCCAGGACCCTGGGATCATCACCTGAGCCAAAGGCAGATACTTAACTGATTGAGCTACCCAGGCACCCCTTGATTTGATCTTTTTTTTTTTTTTTAAAGATTTTATTTATTTATTTGACAGACAGAGATCACAGGTAGGCAGAGAGGCAGGCAGAGAGAGGAAGTGAAGCAGGCTCCCCACTGAGCAGAGAGCCCGACGTGGGGCTCGATCCCAGGACTCTGGGATCATGACCTGAGCCGAAGGCAGAGGCTTTAACCCACTGAGCCACCCAGGCGCCCCTTGATTTGATCTTTTAATGACCAGTCTTGAGAGATTGTTGCAACTAAACTCTGCATGCTTGATTTAGGTCCCCATTTATCCCAGAAGTAATTTGCCGTTGAGCATGGGAACCATTCCCCTTCCCGTTTGTCCCCCCATCCTTCTGTGCTTTGTTTTTCATGTAAAATGATTATTATGTTCATTGTAGGAAAAATAGAAAATTCTTTGTAGATACTATTTTGAGATACATTTTTTGGCTCTCTAACTCATTACTCTAGCATAGAAAAAGATGTATGGACTTAATGGACTTACTTTTTTCCAAATAAAAAGGAACTTTCATGGTCAAACCAAAGAATCATTTAAGACACAAAGACCCTTGATTCTGTATATTGTTAGGGAAGGGAGGAGTGGGAAAGGTCCAAGTTTTGACAGGCTTTCTTTGTGGGTATTTTTTTCTTGGTTAGTTCCATCTTAGCCCTTTGGCACTTTCTTATTCTGCAGAACGTTTTTTCACCTTTTCAGAATAGTGATTGCTTGGAGTGCCATTTCTTTTTTCATGAAATGGAATGAATTCGTGTTTTTTCTCTTCTTCTCTTTCCCTCCTCATATCTGTAGGTGATGGCCATTGCCACTCTGGCTGCCTGTTACAACAATCAGCAGGTGTTCAAAGGCGTAGTGAAGATCCGAAAAGGGCAGGCGGTAACTCTGATGATGGACGCCACCAATATGCCAGTGGTCAAGGCTATAATCTACCAGTACATAGAAGAGGTGGGTTCTTACTTAACGACCTGGAAAATTTGTGTCTCTTCTTAGGATTTAAATACTGTCACTCTTTCAAGAGTTCGTATTTGGCTACTAGATGATCGTAAAAACTCACGGTGTTATGTATAAAGAGACAGGAGTTGGTGTCCTTTATTAGGAAGAAGTGTGTGCACAGGTTGCTGATTGAGCAGAGCTGCATGGCCCCCTGCTGAGAAGCTATAAATGGAGCAAGGCTTTAGGGTGGAGCCCCTACGGAGGATCAGAATTTTTGAGGGGGAAGATGACATTCGAGGCCAACCAGGTTTCATGGGTGAGCAGAGTGAAGCTGAGGCTTGTGCATGCTAATGCAGTATCTGACAGAGTGCATCTCCAACCCCAGGCCAGGTTGCCTGACACCCAATCCAGTACTTTCCATTACGTGATAGGCCTCAACTGAGAAACCACAGTAGGGAATTGCAGCAAAGGAGAACCATCAAGTGGCAGTGATTTGTCAATTTTCTAATGCAGATCTCATTTCAAATGCCAAAACCACCCTATAAGACAAAACATACTTGTTCAAGTCAGGTCTCCTGCTGTGGAGGATATAATACATGACTAGGTTCTAAAAACTTTTTCTTAGAGGCAAAAACGAATCACTAGGCCCTAGAGCGGTGGTTCTTAACTGAAAGGGCTTTTGCGCCCTCCCCCTCCCCCACCCCAGGGGACATTTTGCAATGTCTGAAGACATTTTTTTGTGATGGTCACACTGGTGAGGGGGGTGGCCACTAGCTTCTGGTGAGTGGAGGCCCTGAGATCTTGGGTTCTTACTAAAGATCGAACTACTATGGAAATACATGAGACATGAAAGACCTTCCTCCTTCCTCTCTCCCAGAGAGAGCTCCTGCTGCCAATAATTTTCTCCCTCCTTCCTGTCCTCTGGTTACACCTTTACAGGGATGTGATGTGTAATAGTGGTCTCCCCTAAACAGAATTCTGCAAAACAGTGATTTCCTTTGATTTCTGTTGCATAGTGCACATTCTCCTTGGAGTTCCTCCCTGTCTTCTATCTGACAAGCTTTGGACCTCTGCATTTCTACCGAAGACACAGATAGAAGACATAAGAGCAGGGACCCTGGGTGGCTTAGTCGATTAATCATCTGCCTTTGGCTCAGATCGTGATCCCGGGGTCTTGGGATGGAGCTCTGGGTCGGGCTGCCTGCTCAGTGGGGAGTCTGCTTCTCCCGCTTCCTTTGCCCCTCCACCCCCCACCCTCCTCATGCCTGCTTTCATCTCTCTCTCCAATAAATCAATAAGATCTTTTAAAAAAAAAAAGAAAGAAGAAGAAGAAGAAGACAGAAGACCACATTAAAAAAAAAAATCCTAAAATTCTTTTAGTGACTAGGTACAGTGTTTAGCCATTGACCAAAAAAATTGCTGCTAATGAGACTTGGGGACAGTCTGGTTGACCATATCGCCAGCACTTCCTCTGAGCTTGCTGTGCGCCTGGCATAGCAACTGACTAGGTGGGTACTATTAATATCAAGGAAACCTGAGGCTGAAGCCATAATTTGGGCCCAGATCTGGCTGACTTCAGAGCCTGTGCTGTTCGCTACAATCCTAAGGGGTTTGGATTACGCTTTCGAGAATGAGTAGTACCATAGTAGTTACTTTTCCTCCATTTTATATAAATGAGAAACCTTTTATGTAATATGTAGTTCAGAAGAGATTTATTTGAGTCGAGAGGCTGCAACAGAGGGTGGCCCACAAAGCTGAAAATAGCTCCTGGCCCTTTAAGAATATTTGCAGACCCCCGATTCAGGGAGTCAGTTGTTTAAAGCTACTCCAGTGAAACTCAGTGTAATTTGGGGGACACATTAACGCTTGAGTTGATATGACTGAGAAAAATCTCTGAAGACTTCCGAGTCTGAAGGAATAAAATGTAGTAATGGTTTTGACGTCAGCATGAGTGAAATTTCAAGTTAACTTTTTGTATCAAGTCCACAAGTTGTCTGGCTTTTTTTTTTTTTTTTTTTAGGATTTTATTTTGAGAGAGAAAAAGAGAGTGCACATGAGTGAGGGGGAGGGGCAGAGGGAGAAGCAGACTCCCCCGTCTAGCAGGGAGCGCAATATGGGACTCCATCCCAGGGCCCCGCGATCAGGACCTGAGACGAAGGCAGACGCTTGAATGATTGAGCTACCCAGGCGTCCCAGCTGCCTGGCTTTTTGCTGCTGTCCAGATACTAACACTGATCAAGTCTGTCCTTCGCAGGAAGACAGGCAGACACATTCTGTCAGGTCTCTGGGCCTAACAGGTGGTAACCAGAATGTCCTTGCAGGGGACTTGAAGGCTTTCCTCATGCAGCTCTAGTGTTTAAAGGAACAGTCAGAGTGACAGCCGACCGTTGCAGAGTAGGTGGGCTCTGCTCCTCATGTCAGGGGTCCTCTGGAGCAGCCACAGCTTCAAACCACTCTGATTACCTATCAGCTGGCGAGAAGCTCCACCAGCTATTTTGGGACAGAAACAAATGCTGAGGCAAAGAGCCAGAAACTATTCTTTCTTTCTCTGCCAATGCTTACTCCTTGGCGAGGGCGATCTTTTTCAAGGTGGCACAGCTTCCCGTCTCACCCTGTGCTGTGGTTCGTCTAGAGCATTGCCCTGCCTTTACCAAGCTCCCCAGGTGATCACCTGTGAACAGAAAGTCTGAAATGCGCTGTTGTACTCCCCGTCCTCTCCTCCTCAGCTGGCACTGCCTTTTCACCGTGGGAGGAAGTGCGAGATTGTGTGTTGTGTGGCATGAACCCCCTCCACTCCTCTGTGTCCACCTCTCCTGGGTGAGCCTTAGTCCTCCTGCTCCCGTCACCCCTAGATCCGCCGCCTCGTTATCCAAAGTACCCCCCCCCCCCCCATCACTCCTCTAGTTGGTATGTGCGCTCAGGCCACTCTGCTTCCAAAAGGGAACAGGTCATGACTCTGGCTTGACTTTGCTCCTCTCTACCTACTCCCCTCCCCACTCTCCCTCACAGTTAACCTTCTTGAAAGATACGTGTACTTCACGTTATTTATTCCCATTTTTTTCTTTAACCCACCTCATGCTCGCTGGCTTTTTTTCCTACCTTGTCATGAGACTTTTCTTACTAAAGTGACTTGATGACCTTCTAATGACCAATTTTGAAAACATTCTCCCCAGTCCCACTGTATTGACCCTGTGGATCTTTCTTACCTTAAAAGCCCTTTCCTCTTTGGGCTTCTGTGACTCTGGCCTCCAGTTTAACATCTTACCTGTCAACTCCTTTGCCTTTCTGGCTTCTTATTATACTGGTATTTCCCGGAGTTCTGTCTTCATTTGCATTTTTTCTCACTGCACAAAAGCTTTCTGGTATTCTCTTCAATGGCCAGGCTTCTTTGTCCAATGCATGCTCGTCAGTCCTGACTTGATTAGTCCAGCTCAGGACTTGGTCATAAACTTTTTCTTTTTTTGGTTAATGATATTACCATTCACCTAATCACGGAATCCAGATAACCCAGGCTCCTCTTTATTCTCTCTAACCCTCATCCATATGAAACTCCACATCCTGCCTATTCTACTTATAAGCTTTCTTACTCATCAGAATTTTGCATGCATTACCCTCTGACCAAGCAATTCTAGGACTTTATGTACAAAATTAGCTAGAAGATGTACAGAGATGTTCATTGTAACATTTTGTCCTCAGTCCTTATTGGGAAGGAATTGATTAAATTATAGTACATTCACATTATGCGGCTTGTATTTAGAAACAGAATGACATCATTTTCTAGGTTCTGGCATTAAGAAATGTCCATAAAAAATTTCGTGAGTGAAAAAAGTCAAATTGCAACATAATCTATTTATAATCTATTTTAAAAATAAAATTGTGTATAATTTTATATGCACAATGTAGTCATGTATTTATATGTTATATAGAATGATAGTCATTTTTTTAAAAGATTTTATTTAATTTATTTGACGGAGAGCACAAGCAGGGGGAGCAGAAGAGGGAGAAGCACCTCCCTGCCAGGCAGGGAGCCCAGTGTGGGGCTCGATCCCAGGACCCTGAGATCATGACCTGAGCTGAAGGCAGGCACTTAACCAATTGAGCCACCCAGACACCCCTAGATCATAGTCATTCTAGGTAGTATATAGAATATATAATACGTATATGCATTTTATGTGTTTGTATATAGTTATATATGTACATGGCAATGGGTATAAAAGTACACCAATTTATGATGTTATTAAATTATTACAGAAGACATTTATACATTTCTATATAGAGTTTTAGGGCATAGTGAGGAAAGGTATAAAATTAACTACACTACCCTATGGCTGAGAGAGTAGGTTAAGGGAATTCTGGCTTTTTATTTTATTTTTGTATTATTTGTTTTGAAGATCTTGTTTATTTATTTATATTATTTACTTAATTATTTTTAAAGATTTTATTTATTTATTTGTCAGAAAGACAGCACAAGCAGGGGGAGTGGCAGGGAGAAGCAGACTCCCCGCTGAGCAAGGAGCCTGATGTGGGACTTGATCCCAGGGACTCTGAGATCATGACATGAGCTGAAGGCAGATGCTCATCTGACTGAGCCCCCCAGGCACCTCTGAAGATTTTATTTATTTGGAGAGAGACCGTGAGCATGCCTGCAAGCAGGAGGAGGGAGCAGAGGGAGAGAGGGAGAGAGAATCCCAAGCAGACTTCCTGCTGAGTATGGAGCCCAATGTAAATGGCTGAATCTCACGACCCTTGAGATCATAACCTGAACTGAATTCTGGAGTCAAATTTTAACTAACTGAGCCATCCACATGCCCCTGTATTGCTTGTTTTTTACAACTGTAACTCCATCATCTAAAATATTTATTGAAAGAGGGGTGCTGGGGTGGCTCAGTTGGTTAAGTGTCTGCCTTGAGCTCAGGTCATGATCCCAGGGTCCTGGGATCCAGTCTCATATGCCGCTCCCTGCTCAGCAGGGAGTGCTTGTCCCTCTCCTTCTGCCCCTCCCCCCGACTCATGCATGTGTGCTCACTGTTTCTCAGATAACTAAAGATCTTTTTAAAAAATTTAAAACATAACATTTTTTAAAAAGAAAGTAAAGAGGAAATTGTAGTTTCATCCCAGTTTCTGTTTTTCTCTAAAACTGTTCTTGGTAGCATAGTATTAGATATTAGATATTATTTGCGTATTTCTGTAGGCTTTTTTTTTTTTTTTAATTAAGTGAGCTCTGTGCCCATTATGGGGCCTAAACTCACAACCTCAAGATCAAGAGTCACATGCTCTCCCAACTAGCTAGCTAGGTGCCCCTGTAGGACATATTCTTTCATTTTCTTGTTAAACTAGATTGTAGCTATGCCCTTTTGGTGGAGAGGTAGGAGGCTGGCAAGAATATAATATATGTCTGTGGAAAAAAATACCCATTATATAATGAGAATTTTGGGAAAAATTTATTTAAAAATACGCCTGCTCTGTCATCTTCCTTCTCTTTGCCTCCGTCTCGGCTCAGATCCTTGTTACTTCCCACCTGCATCGTCTCTTAGCTGCTCTGTCACTTTGAGTCAGTGGCCATTTGAGCAGGGCCTCCTGTGTGCCAGGCACGGAGCTGGGCTCGAGGCAGAGAGACCAGTAAGATGTGGTGCCTTTGAGACTTGCAGTCAGGGAGACTCAGAAGTAGCTGAATTCAATGTTAATTGAGAAGATAGGAGTATGTGCAGGAGGGGGCATGTGACCCAACCTGGGGGTTGAGGCAGGTTTTCTTTTCTTTCTTTTTTTTTTTTTAAGATTTTGTATATTTATGTGAGAGAGAGCGAGAGAGAGAGCATGAGATAGGGGAGGGTCAGAGGAAGAAACAGAGTCCCCACTGAGCAGGGAGCCCCATGCAGAACTTGATCCTGGGACTCCAGGATCATGACCTGAGCCCACAGCAGACGCTCAACCAAATGAGCCTCCCGGCGCCTCAGGGCAGGTTTCTAGAAGACTTAACACCTAATTTGTGACTTGGGCAGCAGACAAGAGTTGGCCAGGTGAAGGAGCGTGCCAGGGGCATTCCGGGGGTTGTGGGGGGATGGTGTGAGCGAAGAGGGGAACAGAAGCGTGCAGAGCATCACATGAGTTGTTCCAGGTGGGCAGCGGCAGATGCAGCTGGAGAGGTTCAGTGGGCCCAGGTCATGGGTGGCCTTGTGCTCCATGTCACAGGGCTCACACCTCACTCAGCAGCCCATGGGGAGCCAGTGGGGGTGTCAAGCAGAGGTTTCTGTTTCTTTGGTGACAGTGTGGCAAGCAGGTGAATGGGCTTCAGGGCTCAGTAGAGTCAGAGCTCTGTTTGGAGGCTGGTCATAGCTCAGATGAGAGGCATCGAGGCCTCAGCTTAAGCTGTAGTTGGAAGCATGGACGTGAGGCCTGGGTTCAGCAAATGCTCTGGAGAGTTGTGGAGGGAGTAGGAGGGCCAAGAGGCACCAAGAGAGAGTTCTGGGAGGACTACTCTGGCTCCCAGCTTCTGCTCTCACTTTTCCTCGTCCAGCCTGTGGTCCACACCACAGATTCTGTCTTGTCTGGCTGCATCTGCCCCGTCTTTTCAGTAGCCTTTTTGCTGCTGTGTGAGCAGAGCTGTCAAACCCTGCTGAGATTCCCAGGCTCCCCCCGCCCCCCGTGCCCGGCTCTGTGTGAGGCGCCAGGGAGGTACAGCTCGATGCGGAGGCTCCCGGGGGCAGGGACTTCCCGGTGCTCTCGAGGACAGGCTGCAGGACAATACAGGCCTCCATGGACAGTCCTGCCTTATTAGTGGAGTGACTTTGGGTTATTCCTTCCATGTTCTCTGAGCCTTTTTGCTCATTGGTAAGAGGGACATAAAACCTCCCTGTGTAGGGTTATTGTAAGAAGTAAATACAGAAGGTGTTTATAAAGTTCCTAGGACCCATGAAGTGGCACTTAAAATTTTCTCCTTTCTTTGGCAGATTTATCATAGAATCCCCAGCTCAGACCCATCTTCTGGTAAAACCAGGCAGATCATCTCCACCATCAGGACCCAGAATCTTCCTAATTGTCAGCTGATCTCCCGAAGTCACTACTCCCCTCTTTACCTGTCATTTGTCATGCTGTTGGCTGCCCTGAGCTGGCAGTACCTGAGCACACTGTCCCAGGTCACAGAAGACTATGTGCAGACTGGAGAACACTGATTGGGTCTTAGTCTGGAAGCTCAAGTTCACCATGAAATGGATTGGCCTTTTCTTCAAGAAAAAGGATATTGGGGCGCCTGGGTGGCTCAGTGGGTTAATAAGCCTCTGCCTTCGGCTCAGGTCATGATTTCAGGGTCCTGGGATCGAGTCCCCGCATCGGGCTCTCTGCTTGGCAGGGAGCCTGCTTTCTCTCTCTCTCTTTCTCTCTCTGTCTGCCTCTCTGCCTACTTGTGATCTCTCTCTGTCAAATAAATAAATAAAATATTAAAAAAAAAAAAAAAAAGAAAAAGGATATTGGTACCCCTTGTCCCCCCCCCTTTTCCCTCCTGCTTCAATCCCTGAAAGAACTCTGTGGACTTGGGACTTTTAGGAACTGTGACGTGCAGTCAAGAAGCTAAGAATAAAAGGGAAGGCTACCTCACCCTCAGCAAGCAGGCCCTTGTGCACAGTGCTCCCGTCTACGCACCGTGGCCGGCAGCAGAGGGCCCCTCACTGCAGGTCAGGGGACATGGTGGCCTATGGGGCTGCTGAGAGATCTTATTTAGTGTGAATCCTAGCTAGAATTATAATTAAATGTATTTAATTTGAAGCAACCTTGGAATACATGTCTTTGTACAAAGGGAAGTGAATTTTCTTGGTTGGGTTCCCATTTTTCTCATTTTGTTTCCTTCAGTTGATTTGAATGTAGTAGACATCTATGCTTGTGGGTCTAGGCAACGGCCCCAGGTTTCCTAAGAATGCAGACTATCTTCTGCCCACGAAGGCTAAGGACTGACTGCTGGGGGTTCTGGAATCGCTTCTTGGTTTAAAAGGAGGTTAGCTTTCAGAAAGAAACTGCAGGACTGCTTTGGGCACCATCGTAGAAGACTGGCCTCCAGTTAAGGCTGACTTTTTAAGTAGACATCGTATCTCAAGATGTGTTTGTAATAAACAACTGAATTACTTTGCATTTGTTGAGGGCAGCTCATTTGAAAGCCTGGATGCACGTGGCAAATAGGAACACAAGAATGGAGTTAGTGATGGAGGGACACAGCCCCACGGAGCCAGCCAGAGCAGGACCAGGAAGAAGGATCCAACTGCCTGGGCCCTGCACGCTGTGCCCGCTGAAAGTGAGCGCGTGGCAGCCTCGCCTCCTCTGCCCGCTTGTGACCTGCACTCCCTCTGCCGGCCTGCTCTCACTTTGGCCAACTCTGCTAGCTGCATGCAGAAATCTTAACCATATCCAGGCTTTATGTGGCTTTTTTTTTTATCTTTTCTTTTTTTAAAATCACCAGTTTATACATGGAGGCCTCGAGATAGGCAAGATGTGTTTTCAGGTGATGGGCTGGAAAGCCAAAGGGCATTTAGCCTCCTTCTAGCATCGCTGTCTGCCCTTAGCCCCACACAGGCCAAGGGGGCGTGAGGCACGCTCCTCCAGTGACTTACTGTGAATCTCGGCCTGGGCCGGGGAGGACACGGTCCCTTCGAAGGGTGTTTGGAAAAGCCCCTCAAGCTGAGGGATCACTGGTGTGGGGCATGAAAGTACTTTCTGGAAGCCATTCATGCTCTCAGTGTATGTAGCCTGCTCTTCTGCAGTCCGTTGTGTGTGGTGGTTTAATCATGGAAGCTGGGTGTTTTCCCCGGCAGGAATGCTGGCCTCCCGTGATTATACACATACACCCATTTCCTTCTTGTCCTCGGCTGCCACCAGACACGGTGGCTTAGTTTCAGCACATGGCACCTGCAGTGAACTGGTTCACTTGAGGCTCGGTCCTGGACAAACTTGTCACCATGCTGAAGTCAGGCACTTGAGACACGGAGTATAGCTCTGAGCTGGGCTCCTAACAGTTTAAGCATCAGAACTTGGTTTCAGATTCCAAGGTAGGTGGTTAGAAATGTGTGTAGAAATGATGGATGAGTTCTCTACAGCCTGTGTAGGACAGGACAACCTGGTAGAGTCGTGGTCTGAGGTGGTTGTACTGGAAGATTTCTTTCCCAGCTCAGTGATGACCTGTGGGACTTCCTGAGCTTCTAAATGGTTTAGAAGATCTAGGCCCCTCCCAGCTACAGTTATGTGACTTTTAGTGTCACTGACTTGTGCAAAGTCTTAGCTCTTGTGCCCGCTCCTGGGTGCTTCGGAAGATCATTTTCCTTCTAGAGTTCTCTATTAAAATTGCCGGGTAAAATACAGGATGACCAGTTCAACTAGAATTTGATGCCCTAGTTTTTGTTTTTAGTATAATTACGTCGCAAAATTATTGCACAGGATGTATTTCTACTAAATTATTTGATCTGAAATTTAAATCTGACTGAGCATCCTTTGTTTTTGTTGAATCTGGCAACCGCATCCTCCGCTCCACACTTTAATCAATCAGATATATTTTATCTCTGGCCTCTAGTCTCCTTGATTTTTACTTACAGAGGAATATTTTAGCTTTTCCTCAGAGTATCAGACACATCTGAATCAGGGCTCTAAATTTAAAAACTCCATTACAACGGACAGGAGCAGGAGCCTGCTCTGCATGTTTTGGGAGTTTTGTTTTTTTTTTTTTTTTTAAAGATTTTATTTATTTGACAGACAGATCACAAGTAGGCAGAGAGGCAGGCAGAGAGAGGGGAGGAAGCAGGCTCCCTGGTAAGCAGAGAGCCCGATGTGGGGTTCGATCCCAGGACTCTGGGATCATGACCCGAGCCAAAGGCAGAGTCTTTAACCCACTGAGCCACCCAGGCGCCCCATTTTGGGAGCTTCTAAGGCTCCAGATAGACCTGCACACATGCACACCCATCTCCGTTTGGGGAAGTGCTTGGAGCAATTACTTGGAAGCCCCATTCTGTCTGAAACTTCTGTGGGGCTGGCATGCACATGTGTGTTGGGGGAGGAGAGGAGGCTAGCCATTTTGTTAATTAATCTTAGCAGTTTGGGAAGCAGAGCTCTAAAGCTGTGGTTCTCCAACTTAAGCATCCAAACTACCTGAAGGTCCCAGATTGCTAGGACCATTTGTATCTCAAACCCCGAAGCATTTTTAACAAGTTCTCAGGTGATAAAAATGCTGGTCAGGAGCCCAGTTTGAGAACCATTGCTCTAAGGCCTTACTTTTCAAACTTTTTAATGAACGTGTGAACCAGCAGGAGTCTTGTTAAATTGCAGGGGCAGATTCAGAGCTCTGGCCCAAATTCCGCATTCTAAGGTGCTGGGTGTTGGCCCCGCTTTTGACCTGAAGCACAGCTATCTGACACATCTTCAGAGTGGAAAAGCAACTATGTGCCCAATCTTCGGAGTCTAAACTACACCCACACCCTCTTCTGGGTAAAGAACAAAAAGGCTCGGTGCCTTCCATTGATTGAATACCTTGTTCCAACAGGCACCCGAGAAAAGCATACCACTTGAACTGAGGTGACAGGGTGGTCAGTGAGGTAATTTGAGGTTTATTTAAGTATTGACATTGATCCCAATCCTAAACCAACATTGCTGGTTTTGTTTTCTAACAAAGACTCCTAAGGCAAGCGTGCAGATGCCTTGCGGTTCACCTGGGTTCTTGCTGTCCGTGTCCCCTGGCTTCCTGGCTGAGCGCAGGGTGGACATGGGGCCATCCAACTGTTTGGGCGCAGGCTGAATTTGTCAGAACTACACTGTGGTTATGAATGTCTTCCAGTTGAAAATTTAACAATAAAGTGATTGCAAAGTTGTGGCTTTTGGCCTTTGTATTATGCTAGGTTTCACAGATTTTTAAATTTTTCATTTAATTCCGGCTTAGTTCCTGATCCCTAACTTCTAATTTCAATCAGAAGTCAAACATCCCATGCTTCTGAACTAGTCCGGCCCTCAGCTGGGAAAAAAGTTAGGTACTGATGTGCCAGTGGGATGGGAGTAATTTCTTCTAGTTTCCTGTTCGCTCAAACACTAGTATACTTCACTGCTTGGGATTCTTAACCAGCAACAGAACCCAGAGACAGGGGAACTCAGAACAGGACACACAGGCTCTGCTTCCACCCCATCTCAACATCGGCAGGGCCCAGGCAACCTGGCTCTCCACTAGGACAGCTGGCTTCCGGCATCACCCACACGCCACGCTTGTGTGAATCCCCACATGGGTTACTGCTGGCTTGGGGCTGGTACAAAACAGACTACAACTATGTTCTTAGCTCTTGAAATTAAGCAGGGGCACAAATCATTGGGGCTTGAGACAGTTTAAGGGTTGAATTATAGAGCAAGGCTGATGAAAGTGACAGGGAACGATGAAGAGAGAAACCGTGGTTTGGGGCAGGAGTTCCCTGGTTTGAGATTCAAGGACACCCAGATCCAGGAAGACAGGAATCTGCAGGGTAAGAACGGACGGACCGCGGCATCCCACCAGAGCACAGACTTCGTGTTAAGGGAGAAAACGTTTAATTGGCACAGTCATTCCTGTCCTGATTAAATTAACAGTGAAGCAGTGATTTTTACAGTTAAAGCTGGTTTCTCCCAAATGAGTGTCACTATTAGGCTGGGAGGCCAGTCAGCTCACGCCCAGCCGGTGGTATTAGAGGGACACAGTCTGTGAATCGAGGACAGCTCTCCCAGCTGTTCCGCTTTCATTCACATGATCAGCTGAGGTGCACACAAAATAAAATGTTTATTTAAAAAGGAATCATGCCAAGGACAAGACCAGAGGATCTTTGCAGCAGCACCGCAAAGCTCATGAGATGCAGGTGCCCTGGGAGAATGGCTTTCTCCCAGGGCTGGCCCACTGGTTTTCTTTTCAACCTAGCCCACAGCTAGCGAGCTACTTGCTTAGAAGTACCCCTGCTGGTGGGAGACTGGTCTTGTTAAGGACTCCACTTTCCATTCCTTTGGAACGCCTAACACCTCTGGGTCTCGGTATGGCTTCTTGGAGAGTGTGGCCGGGGAGGACGCGGGGGCAGCGGGCACTATGCGCAGCACTAGTCTGGGGGGTGGGGGGAGGACTCACTTCGCTTGCGGTGGCAGCTCACGTAGTCTAGGTGTGCACGGGGACTGCAGTCCACCCAACGGGCTGGGAGGTAGCCAGGCCTTGGATGTGTCTCCTTGGAAGACGGCTCTGACAGTAGACACGAGGTTTGGCTCAATCCCTCAGGCCCTGTCTAAAACCTCTTGTATCA